TCTGGGGAAAGGTGGCAGTGAGTCATCTCTGCTCCCTCCAGAGGCTCCAGGAAGAAGAGCGTCAGCGAGACATGGACTGTGACCAGCGGAGGGTTCAGAGTGCTCACAGGCCACCTTGCTGTTTGAGTGGCAGCAGCAGTGCTGGCAGCGTGACCTGAGCAGGGCTCTGGACAGCAGCAACCTCAGCCTGGACAAAGAGCAGCAGCTGCAGCGAGTGCCGGGGCGCAGGGCGGGCAGGGGGCCAGGCGGGGGGGGGATCAGACAGTGGAGGTCAAGGATGGGGAAGGGGCAGAGGGGGAAACACCCCGGCCTGGATGGTTCTCATCTGGGACTGGGGAACTCAAGGTGGGCAGACCCTGGGCCACAGGTCACTGCTCTGCACGTGGGGTGCACTGACGGAGGAACCAGAGGGTACCTGGAGCCCCCGGAAAGGGCACCTAGTCAGCCTGGGGAGTCGAGAAAGCTTCCTGGAGAAGGCATCGTGGCTGAGACCCGGGAGGAGGATGGTGCCGGTGGCCACTGCAGGGAGGGCTCTCCAGGCAGAGAGAGGGCTCCCAGGCTGCCTAGAGCAAGCCTGGAGTGTCTTCCTTACAGGCTGGAGTAGTTCAGACTTCAGTTGCTTATAATTAGGCAAACTTGTAACTGAAAACACAGTATTTATTTACTTATTCATGTATCTATTTATCAAACTCTGGTGGTCTGTTGGCGGCCTAGCAGTGACATTAAGAGATGATCTGGCAGATCAATGGGGTAAGCAAAGCATCTTCTGATCACAGCATGGAGATTTCATTTTAAGATACCCCCAAGTGTCGCTGGTGCCAGTCCATTGCCTAGCTACAGTATAAGATGACCCTCGCTTCTGAAGAGCAGTTGAGGTGGATTATTTTTTTGAGCTCATTAGGGTTGAAATGAATTGTGTATTTTGGGGATTACACACTGAAAAAAAGGGGTGGGCTTTTTAAAAAAGTGCAGAAAGTCGGGCCGGCCCGGTGGCGCACTGCTACAGTGCGCCGCTTGGGAGCGCAGCGGCGCTCCCGCCGAGGGTTCAGATCCCACATACAGACCGGTTCCCGCTCACTGGCTGAGCGAGGGGCGGGCGCAGCACCAAGGGTTGCGATCCCATTGCCGGTCCCGGTCCGGTACGGGCGCAACACTGAGGGTTGCGATCCGTTGCCGGACACAAAAAGAGACAAAAAGGAAAAAAAAAAAAAGTGCAGAAAGTAGAATATTAAGGAAGTATACACATCTGCTGATCTTTTTTTCTCCCTTTGTTTTATTATCAGGAAAAAATATATGAATGAGGTGTATGCAAATCAACCCACAGAAGAGTATTTCACCCAAATTAATACAAGAAGCCAGTAATAAAAAAAAAAAAAATCCTTGTTTCCCTCATTAATGTAAGAAGTGAGCCGACCTTAAAAATTTTTTTTATTAAAAAATATGCTCCTTGATCCAGAGGCTCCCTTCACTTTATTTGTCCACCGTGAACAAAACATTTACTAAACCTCTCCCTTCTATTTCTGTGAGGAGCCTTAGTTTCTGTGCAGCTCAGCTCCCTGAAGGTCTCAAATGCAGCTCTGGGAGCTACAGACACAGGAGGGCCAGACGTGGCCCTGCTAAAGACTGTTCTAGATAAAGAGGGCGTGTGAGGTGGGCTGTGCATTTCTTAGACTCCAAGTCCAGCTGCTGTAACAGCTGACACTTGCAGGTGCTCACCGTGCAAGGCATTGTTCCAGATGCATCACTTAGAATGAACTAATTTGATTCTTGCAACAGCAAAGGTGGGTATTTTTAACACTCACATTTCCTAGTTGAAGAGCCTGAGTTACAGCCACGTTAAGTGACGTGTCCAGGATCACACTGCTAAGAAGTGGCGGAGTATGGGGTTGAACCCAAGGAGTCTGGCTCTCCCACTTCACCCTCCTGATTCCAGTGACAGAGAGTCAAGACAACAGTGGCTTGGACAAAGCAGAAGTTTTTACTGCTTGCTCTTGTAGCTATCCCAGCTGATATGGAAGCTCCGCTGAGCAGTGTGGCGGGGCCCAGGCTCCTTCCAGCTTGTGCTCTGCCCTCCCACATCCCACACGCAGTTCCCTTCCTGTGGTCCAGATGCGGCTCCAGCTCCCAACATCATGTCACACTGGCCAGCAGGGAGGGGAAAGGGGAAAAAGAAGGGGCGGATACATGCTACTTCCCTTCAAGGACGTGGCATGGAAATGGTACATATCACCTCTGTTCACATCCTGTGGGCCAGGAATTAGTTATGTGACCACACCTAGTTGGGTGGAGGCTGGGAAACATGGCTGGCTGACCATGCAACCAGCCATCATTCTATAATTATATAAAAAATGGAGTACATATTGGGGCACAACTAGCAGTCTGCCACAGCCTTGAAGGGTGACTAGGAATTTGCTGGATGGGAGGTGAGGGCATTCTACACTGAGGGGGTACTATGTCTAGCAGTAATGGGGTCTCCAGATCCAAGACCCAGGAATGACTGGATCCCCCTCTGTCCCCTCTTCTTTCTCCACATGGATTTCTTGACGGGCCATCTGCACAGGACCAGCGACAGATAGCAGCGCTTGGTACCACTTTGTCATTAGCTGAGATAAAGCTACATACTCCAGTGCAAGCTCTAGCTCACTTCCCCCCTCCATCTAAACAGCCCTAGTTCTTCCCATGCTTAGAAACCTTCCTCCTCTTCCACCCTGTTTCTGTCTGCTTTTGCGTCTCCCCTACCTCCAATTACTCTGCAAGTACATCTTAGAATGAGGCACTGAGCCAGGGAAGCCAAACCCAGCTACCACTAGGCAAGCTGGTGCCACTGCCCCGGGGCCCTGCCAGGGTCGTGAGGTAGGGACCCAGGGGAAGCTGGACCGAGCTTCAATCAGGTAAAGAGCACAACAAATACACCATTTCCACATGGGTAGCCCCGTAGACACTGCAATTACCATGGCTGCCACAAAGTGGCTAGTCTCTATAGCAGCAGTCACAGCCACTGTGCAGATGTCATGCCAGACTCTCAACTGCATTGACAAAAGAGAGGCACCAGCGGAGACAAAAAAAAAAAAAAAAAAAGAAAGAAAAAGAAAAGATGCTCTCTACACAGAGCACACTCTGGAGGAATAGAAGAAGCATCTGATTTATGATAGTACAGGATGACTTGATCCCACCTTTCTCAGTCCTGACAGATCATCTAGGTATAAAACCAACAGAGGAACAGTTAATCTGTCAGATGGAGAGAACGATTCTATGGTTTTGAGAGGGAAGAAGGGGATGGGGTAGGGGGAGGGGCAGGGGGCTGGTGAGAAGGGAATAGGAGAGGAGGTGGGGGAGTGTGGAGATTGGATAAGGGGCATAAAAATAAGTGTGCTTTGTAACAATATGCTAATAAAAATTTATAAAAACAAAGCAATCCTGAGTGATAATAATAATAATGATAATAATAATAATAATAATAATAATAATAATAATAATAATAATAATAATAATAATAATAATAATAATAATAATAATAATAATAATAATAATAATAATAATAATAATAATAATAATAATAATAATAATAATAATAATAATAATAATAATAATAATAATAATAATAATAATAATAATAATAATAATAATAATAATAATAATAATAATAATAATAATAATAATAATAATAATAATAATAATAATAATAATAATAATAATAATAATAATAATAATAATAATAATAATAATAATAATAATAATAATAATAATAATAATAATAATAATAATAATAATAATAATAATAAAATAATAATAATGATAAAAAGCTGGAGGCATTAACAGTAGCTGACTTTATACTACAAAGCTATAGTAATGAAAACAGCATGGTACTGGCATAACAAAGACACTCACTCAAACCAAAGGAAGAGAACAGAGAATCCAGAAATCAACCCACATACTTACTTGACAAAGGCCCCAAGAATATACACTGGGGAAAAGACTATCTCTTCAATGAATGTTGGTGGGAATACCAGACATCCATATGTACAAGAATGAAACCAGACCCACATCTCTCGCCATATACCAAAATCAACTCAAAATGGATGAAAGATGTAAATGTAAGACCTGAAACTATAAAACTCCTAAAAGAAAGCACAGGGGAAACACTTCAGGAGGTAGGACAGGACAAATACTTCATGAAAAAGACCCCAAAAGCACAGGCAACAAAAGAAAAAATAAACAAACGGGTATATATCAAACTAAAAATCTTCTGCACAGCAAAAGAAACAATGGACAGAGCAAAAAGAAAACGTGCAGAATGGGAGAAAATATTTGTAAACTATGCATCTCACCACGGATTTATATCAGAATATATAAAGAACTCAAACAACTTACCAGTAAGAAAACAAGTATCCTGATTAAAATTTGGGCAAATGAGCTGAACAAGTATTTCTGAAAGGAAGATATACAAATGGCCAATAGACACATGAAAAATGCTCAACATCATTAAGAATCAGGGACAAGTAAATCGAAACCACATTGAAATGTCATCTCACTGCAGTTAGACTGGCCATTATCGAAAAAGCAGAGAAAACCAAATGCCGGCGAGGATGCAGAGAAAGGGGAACCCTCCCACACTGTCGGAGGGAAATGTAAATTAGTGCAGCCATTACAGAAAATTCTACAGAGTTTCCTTAGACAACTCCAGATAGAACTGCCATACGGTTCAGCAATCCCACTCCTGGGCATGTACCCAAAGGAATGGAAATCATCATGTCAAAGGGTTACCTGCACTGCCATGTTTTTTTGGAACTCTATTTACAATAGCTAAGAGTTGGAACCAAATTAAATGCACATCACTGGATGAATGGATAAGGAAATTGGGGTATATATAGACAATGGAATCCTAGCCTGCCAGTAAAAAGAATCAAATTCTGCCATCCACAGCAACATGTATGCATTTGGAGAAAATCATGTTAAGCGAAATAAGTTAGGCACAGAAAGAGAAATAATCACGTCCTCACTCATAAGTGGGAGCTACAAAAATAAACAAGTAAAATAAGAAAGAAACATACAACGATTACAATAATTTACGGAATTTTCAAATGGAAAGAACAGAACTGAGGTTACTAGAAGAGGGAAACGGGGAGTGAGAATGGTGGTTAGTGAGAAATTGGTAAGGGCTATAAAAATTATTGTGTAGTGTTGAATATAATAATTACCCTGATTTGAGCATCTTGTATTGCACACAGCTATCGATTTTCAGTGCTGTACTCCACAGATATATAGTCATTTATGTTTCAAAAAATAAAACAATCTTTTAAAAATTATAGTCTGTTCTAACGCAATACAAAGAAGAAAATACAAAAATAAACCTCATCCTCTCAACAGTGACTTGCTGTCCACAAACATTTCCTCTTTTCCTCTGGAGCTATATTACCTGGTAGGAGACTAGATTTTTTTTTTTTTTTTTTTAGAAGAGAGGGCGACATGACTGGCCAGTAGAAGATTGAATCCTTGATCTCGGTGTTATCAGCAGCACGCTCTGCCCAACTGAGCTTACTGGCCAGCTGTGGAGACTAGATTTTTTCTTGGAGTTCATCCCGCCTTGCCAGACAGCCTTTGCCTTTAGTTAAAATGTCTTTATTCGTAATTGCCAAGAACTGAAAACAACCAAGAGGTTCTCAGTAGGTGAA